TTTTTGAAAAGTGTATGTTTAGCAATTTGGCAGAGTATATGCTGACGTGAGCTATTTTACCGCTCAGTAGTGCTGCTGCCGAAAAAAAAATTTCGGAGATTTCGCTTTTGAAAAGGTAATAATGTCAATTGACTTTATTTCGCAACAGGGTGGGAAATAAAGTCAATTGACCTTATTTCCGTTGATCTTGTTACCTGTCACCTTTCGAAATTTTAAATTTTTAAAACACCAATGATAACCGAAAACAAACAAAGCATCAACTTTGTTTCTGATGCGCTGGTTACTCTAGCGATGCGTTTCGATAACTTTTCGGATGCTTTTTGGAAAAGTATACATTGTCAACCAATTGTATATATGCAATGTAATTGACGTTTTGGAAGTCAGCCTCTGTTAATCTATCCAGATAATATCAGAAAGATTAAAATCAATGATACAAAATTGGGAATCCATATTAGTATCGCGGAGATCAGCTATATTTTCAATATGAGAATCATATAAGCTATCAGAACTAGTGGGTGATATATATGAGACACAAATAAATGTAGAGCAAAGGAGCTATAACGCTTACGCATAGCTGATCGATTAAAGAATCATGAAGCAAGTTGGTATGCTGAGGAACGTAAGCGACGTTTTAGCACGATTAAAACACCACCACTTTTGAGATGGCCCCACTTCATGAAATCTCTAGCCTTGCGGTTCGTATTAAATATGTAGCTTTGGCTATTCGGCTCTGCTTGCCGCTTGGCTGTCAGTGGAGGTGTTTACCTCCTTTTCGACGTCGCGAAATTGGGGTTTGATGCCAGCTATGCAGTGATCGTTGTTGTCAAAGGTAAAGTCGAAGTCTTCAAAAAATCTAGATTGTTAAAAACCTGAGTCTGTTTTGCTTCTAGTGTCCTTAAGTCTGACCACAGCCCTTGATGCAGCTGGTTCCAAATGTAATCGGGTGCTGTGTTAAGCAGGATGTTAAATACAAGAGTGGGAATGACTCCTATCGCCCTACCAATTCTTGTCTATAGTAGTCTTCTCGAGTCCATTCCACGAGAAACCTACTCCATAAAACATTATGAGCTGAGATATGGTTTCAAACGACCGGGAAAGAACTTAAGTAGAGAGGGCCCATCTCTTACCAATCGCTCGCCTGTAGAAAACGGCCGAAGAATTAAATATAAGAATATTTCTTTAAAAGTTGATTTACTACATTTTATTGTTTTTGCTTTCAGGAAATACAAACAACTTGGTTTCGTATGCGGAAATCAAACGCGGCGTACATATATTAGGCAACGCCAACAGTAGATTTGTGCCAAATATGCAAAACTTAGATTCCTGCAGTGTCATCGTGTTTCCATCGTTGAATCCAGACCATGAAGAAATCCAGGTGGATGGTCATGAATCGCTTTCTTCAACGCTTGATATAAAGACCAACATAAATAAAGATGGCGTGGAAATGATTGGAAATGATGCAATTGTCAATTATTTGGATGTCTTAAAGGCGCTCGTTTACAGCAATAAGAAACCGGCTTACTACCTGAATCGCGTCTTTAAACTTGCCTGTACACAGATGAACTCTGAATTTAGGAGTCAAGAAATTACATTGACGTTGACGGTGTTACATCCAAAACTAGTACCCAAGACTAGTAGCCCCGACGTCGGCAATGGCTGCCGCTGAAAATTCGCCGTATAGAATTAGCGGCGTTAGTGGCGTCGCTTTAGGGCCGACATTGGCAGGTAAGTACTACAAACGAGGTATAAACCGATCTCCTGAACTCAAAAGGCAATCTACTCGCTTTCTTTGCAGATAATAAACTCTTCGCACATGCGATGGTACATTCACACGATGTGCAGGAGCTCAAGAGCATTCTATCATTCACAAAGGTAAAACACCACTGGGATATAGTGGTGGCAAACTATCGATAGATTTTCAAAACTATCGAGTATTTCACTGATGGGCTATCTGTCAATAAAGTTACAACCAACTTTAAGTTCCAACTTAATTTTGACGATGAATACGCCCCAATTAGATTTTAATCTTTTTCAAAATAGGCGATTATCAGACTATCGATAGTTAAAAAAATATCGCCCACTATCTATAGTCACGACAATCGATAGTTTGCCACCACTACTAAGATATGCGTAATGCGGAGATTTGGAAATGCGCCTAGGAAAAAAAAATAAAAAAAAATAAAAAGTTAAACGACTTTAGCTAATTTTTGGTCAGATTTTTTTGGTCGAATTTATACAAGGTGGTGTTACTAGAATTCGCCGCGTTCCTTCTGAATGTCAAAATGCTGTGTTTGTTGTATTTTGGGGTACTTCTTGCCGTCATTGTACGTATAATTTGTTGTTGTGATTTTTGTTTTTGCTGAAACGATACCACCTTGTATAAATTCGCCTTGGGAAAGTGGGTTTTGCGTATAAGTAGAATGAGTGCGAACGCATTGACGACTTCTTTGGGTCAAACAGTATTGTGCTTTTGAACGATCAAAATTTAAAACTTCAATCCTGGAACAACGAAAAATTATTATAGAATAGGTAGAAGATCGGAATAGGGAACGACCTTCACCCATCTGTTTAATGGATGAAATCTATTTTGTATGAAATTTTACGTGTTAGGAAATAATTCGCGAGTGGGTTGGCTGAAAAAATCCTGGCCAGGATAATTTTAATTAAATATTCAAAAATTATTGTTTTTTTTTCTAATTTTGCACTAAAATCACGCAAAAGTAACAGCAATGTGTAATCAACCAAAGCTGGCAGTATGAGGGGCATGTATGTATGTTGCATGTTGTTAGGCGCGGCTGCTATTCTTTTTGAAATTTCTATCGAACAAAATTAGCGATAGAGAATGCTGGAATCCGGGCGCTGGCTACGATTTTTTAGCCAACCCTTTCACGTAATATTTACTAACACGTTAAATTTAATAGAAAACAGATTTCATCCATTAAACAGATCAGTCATAATTTTTCGTATTTTTCCGTACTTTTTAGTATATCTTTATAATTAATAATAATAATAGCATGGCGCTTACGCATATGTTAGTGTTTGGCCGAGCTTCTCCTCCGATTATTGGCGTGCGCCTTGATGTTGTCACACAAACACATATTATGAATTGTGAAGTCGATCGCGAACGGACGTGTTTTTATCGCTCTGCTAATGGTGTTTAAAATATAACAATATTACAAAGTGTGGTGTTAATACTAGCATTACTGGATTAAAAGTGTGAAACATAACGATTTAAACCAATAACTAGACATTGGCTTCGTCGAAATAAATAAAATAAAAATAAGCATAATAGACAAATAATAGCTCGCATGTTGATGGTACATACATACGTATGTACATATATTCATCCAATATACTTAACGGCTGCTGAGTGAGTGCAAAGATGTCAGAATCAGGGATGCCGTTTGGATCTAAATAGATCCAATTGGATACATTTTTAGACGAATTTTTGCGGGATACTTATTTTTTCCTATCAGTATAAATGTGGATACTTTTTTAAATAGACCAAAATTTTATATTTTCTATAAAGTTTTTTTCGTTAAAAAATAGATTTTCATTAATGACGTTTTCTAAATGTTATAAAAATCGCTACTTAAGCGTGAAATTAGAGCATTTTATTTTTTGTGAATGAAGCAATGAACATATATAGACATCTCACCAAAGCAGTGTAATAAGAGCTTTAACAGACGGCAGCGTTGATCCGGATCAACACGGGAATTAACTGCAGTTAATCCGGATTAAGTCCCAGTTAATCCCGATCAACTCGGGAATTAACTGCAGTTGATCCGGATTAAATAACAAATAATCCCGATCAACGCTGCCGTCTGTTTAAGCATTTAGGAGCAATTGTTTAGTTAGCTAAAAAAATGCTTTAAGCAAGATCTTAATATATATATATACATTAAATATATCTTTTTCATATCAAATATCTTCATTTGTTAATATAAAAAGAAAGAAGATCTCAATGTAGTTTAAAATACACTGTTTAAAAAACTAAATTTGATTTATTTAAGGAAATTTTTAAGAATTTTACTGAAAAGACTTTAAATACACTCTAAATTTTTTTTGTTTATTTGCGCATATTAAGAAAGGTAACCGTTTTCCTCTTCTAATGTGTGCAAATTTGCACACCGTGTAATAAAATTAAACACTGCCTATTTACTTTAACATACCAAATTTGTCGCAGAGCGCAAAATAACACATAAAATGTTTAAAATAGAGCGAATGTAAGCTCCTAATGTTTATTATTTGTAGGAAATGTATTTTTAGTTTCAAAATTTTTGCAACTTTAAACATTTCATGTGTATATTTATGTGTATATATTAAAGATCTCAAGTTCATATATTTATACAGATTCCTGTTGAAAAATAGATATTTTTCAGTAGTAGTTTTACACACACTTTTCATAGTGTATAAAAAAAGTACAAAAAAGAAAAAAACTGTATAAGGTTGGTCGAATGAATGGCCGTCCTAGTCACCAGTTCCGAGTCTATTCGATTTTTGAGTATGAGGCCTTAGGTTGGACAGAAGGGGGAGTATAAGGGACTCAAAATGGAGAAAATTAGCCTATGGTTACAGAAGATATGGAATAAATTAACTGACGAAGACCTGCGTGCCAAATGAACTTTCCTCTCAAAGTTTACACTGCTGGCAAATGTAAATAAGGATTAAAATTTAAAAACTAATTAATGCAACTAAAGTAAAATCTGTGGAAAAATAACAATAAAATACTTTTTTCGCAAAATCTATAAAGGACTCTTTTATTTCTCAAAAATATCTGGGTAACAGTTATTCGTCGCCACGCTGTACACACGTATTCCAAGTTCTTAGGATGGGTTAAATTATGTCTTTTTCTTCAAAATGTTTGGTTTTCTTACAAATTATGAGATGGATACGTAAAAACAGAAAATTGGATACATTTGGATACATTTTTGGGTTGGTCGGTGATACATTTTCTTGGGACGGCGCGGCAACACTGGTCAGAATGCGCGAAATGCCGAAAAGGCGTCAGAGGAGAGTCGGGTGTACGTTGTCAAGGTGTGTGCGGGAAAGTGTACCATAGAACGCAGGCATGTGCGTCGGCTGATGACTACAGCCTAAAGGCACTGGAAAACTGGCCGCTTTTGCGCTTCATGTGCGACAACTGCATGATTTACATAGCTAATGTGGATGAAGCTTTGAGAGAAATGATAGGTATTGCTGAGGCTAACAAAATGAATATTATAGAACAAAAGACAGATATAGAGAAATTGTTAAAAAATCACAGCAAGGAGGTAAAAATCTTGGTTGATAGTATAAAGAAGGCAAGGAGAAACTAGAGGTTATAAAAAGAGTAGAGAGAAGCGATGATATATGTACATAAATATGTACAAGCATACGAGAAAAAACAAGGCTTTCATTAGTTTTTCTTTTATTTTCAGCTGAAAGCTCACACCCGACGATGCTAATAATCTTAATATGCGTATTTTTTGTGATACTATTATGCGGTGTGTCCATTGCCCGTTTTGAAAAATAATAGCTTGAAGTATGTGGATAGTCATCAGCCTGGTTGGAAGGTAAATTCTAGACTTTAGAGTTAAATTAACTGAAACATTAACTATTTTTTTATACCTAAAGATTGCCGACGAGGGCTTGGTTTGGGATGATTCCGCGTTGACAATTACAATAAATCCAATGCAAACTGATGGTGTTTCTGAGGATAGCTCAGATTCTGAAAACTCCGAATCCGAGGATGAAGAAGGTATAGTTAAGAGGTTGTTGTTGTTACCATAGTAGCTCTCGGCAGGCCGCTGATACTGCGGGCGCTTTACTCATCTGCGCGATTTTTAAAGTGGCAACGCAAATAAAAAAGTTCATAATCGCGAAGATACTTAGGCTTAACGGGTACCAAAAATATACTTTGATATATACATGGGTATCTCATTAACAAGAGCTACATGGTATTGTGGTTACAACAACAACTTTTTTGGTTTATTTAAAACTCAATACTTCTGTGCTCAAGCTATAACCGCCAAAGCAGAAATTCCTGGTTCACAGAAAATACTTTATATTCAAGGCTACGTACAGCTGAATACCTTAAAATGTTTAACTGTACAAATTGTCTCTCTTGGAAATGAACATGGTTTTTAGATATGCGCTGTGTAACCTTTATATTTCACAGACCCAGTTTCTGTTAGGAAAATCTAGTGAACTCTATATAGAAAGGCTGTACAATGTTCCTCTTGGAAAGCTTTCTCCACAGACTAAAACTAAGTATGTTCACTAGGGCGGGTCAATTTTTTTTTCGACATCGTTCCTAGCAGATTCGGATTCTACATACAATTCTAAGAAAAAAAGCCCTTTAGACCATAGCTCTAGAATCAATTTCGAGCCTGCGAAATTTTAAAAGAAAATATTTGTAATTAATACTAAGTCCATAATCAGATTAATATTTACTAAAGTGTTAGGAATTTTTTTTTTTTGTAATAAAGAGTTGTGCTCGGTAGTTTTGTGATACGAAAAATTAATTTCTGATATCTATTTTTTATTTAAAGAACCGCAAAATGGCGCTTCAAAGCAAATCTACTATATATTTGTGGAAGTATGTATGTATGTATGTACCAGGTTGCAGCCTGAACGGATGTACAGAATCGAATAAAATTTTGCCAAAGTATTGCCATGACTCCTGGACCTATAATAGGGTAAAAAAATTGAAACTCGCCAAGGGGGGGAGGGGGATGAGGGGTACCTTCCATAGTGAAAATTTTTAATCAGCTCTAACTTCGGAATTATAGTCACATGAACTCGAAATTTGAAATGCACAGATACCTATGGTAGGTGCTTATGGAAAGATATATGTACATAAATGAGTTTGTAAAAAGGGGCGTGGCACATCTCATAGGTGTGGAATCTTTTATCAGCTATAACAGCAGGCAGTATTAGTGATCTCATTATATTGCATTTTGAAGATTTGTTATAATTGATCAAAGTGAAATTCAAATAAATTATAGATGATATGAAGTTCACCGGGTCATCTTCTAGTCTTTAATATATACTTTGTTAATATACGGATAAATATTTACTAAAGTGTTACGAACGATATTTTTTTAATACCATAAGAAAAAAATAACTATGATTTAAAGGAGTGACACACAATGGCTAGAGTCGTCGCATGTGTGTATTCTTTCATATATGTACATATATATGGGCCGTTCTTACGGTTTATATATATTTCATCCACTCGCTTATTCCTTACCGAAAATTTTAAATAAAAATTTAACAAGTGTTAACCGCTGATATAGTACAGGTAGCAGTTTAAAATGGGGAGCTGGGTAAACTTAATAAAGAAAACATATTCTCTGGTTAAATTAATAAGCCTGCCCGGATAACACAAAATCCTAAGCTTGATAAACATTTGGTGTTATACAAGTTTTATAAAGCTCTACTTGTATTTAGGAAAAATGCCAAAAAAAAATTATAAAATTTATTGATTGATTGATAGAAATAGAGAGGGAGTTATGGCTATGACAATCTTCATCTTCATCTTCATCATCTTCATCTTCATCTTCATCTTCATCTTCATCTTCATCTTCATCTTCATCTTCATCTTCATCTTCATCTTCATCTTCATCTTCATCTTCATCTTCATCTTCATCTTCATCTTCATCTTCGTCTTCATCTTCATCTTTATCTTCATCTTCATCTTCATCTCCATCTTCTTCCTCGTCTTGGTCTTCATCTTCTTCTTCATCTTTATCCTTTCCTTTATCCTGATCTAAATATGGCCATTCTTTTCTTCTTTTACAAATTCACCCCCACCATTGTTATTAGCAGGGAACGGATTTTATGGAAATTGCCTTTTTTTCTGCTAAAGAGATAGAGTATATTGGATTAAGAATGTCCACGATTTAGCATTCCCTGATTCCATATATACACATTTGATGTTGCCTTTTTTTGCCTTTTTTAAGATATTTGCCTTTTTTTGCCTTTTTTGCTTTTTCTACCTTTAAAAAAGTGATTATAGCATTTACAATTTTTTTTTTTTAAGAATACAAAATATACACATGCCCATGGCCCAGGCTTATAGAAGCGCAGGGACCTCTTGCCAAATTGGTGTTGGAAAAATTCAAAGCCGTTTTCTCAGCCGTTTTCGTAGGCTTGGAGACAATAAGGGGTGTGGATAAAATTGTAAAGGGCGACGAAAACGCCCCTATTCCTGATAATATGAACGTTTCAAACGTTCCATATTTAAATTCGGCTACACTTGTATCAACTTGCGTCGAGCGCACATTTAGAACATTCAAGGCTTTTCTTCGCGAAAATCGAATGAAAATGTTGCCAGAAAACTTCAAAATGCATCTTGTGGTTCAATGTTACTACAACTATACAGATTAAAGTTTTATGAGATAGAAACTCGAAAGGATAAAATAGTCAAAGATTCAAAGTACAAATTTTTCATATAATGAAACTAGTTCATAGTTTTTCTCTTTTTACTTGTAATATAAACATTTCTAAAATAAATGTATTTTTTGATTGTTCTTCGTTCTTTTCTGTCTTTTTTTTAGTGCCTTATTTTGCTTTTTTTGCAACACCTAGTGCCTTTTCCTGCCTTTTTCGCTATTTTGTTTTGCCTTTTTTTGCCTTTTTTGCAATACCTAGGTCCTTTTCCTGCCTTTTTCGCTATTTTATTTTGCCTTTTCCAGCCTATTTCGTCATTTTATTTTGCCTTTTTTATAGGTTTTTAGGTCCTAAAAATCCGTTCCCTGGTTATTAGGTTAGGTATTTAAATTTTCCTTCCTCTTTGTCGTTATCTTTAGGTTTCTTTACTTTTATTTTAATTTCTGAATTTATCCCTTTCTTCTTCTCCATACTCAACTTTACCTTCTTCCTTGTTTGAGTTTAATTTACTCACTTACATACATACATACATACATACATCTTATTCCTAAACTGCTGCTTCCCCGCAAACATATTCTGAGCGTTCAGAATATATGAGTCCGAAAGGTGTCCTAGGTAGGTAAGAAATATGAGTTTCAAAAACAAAAAATTTTTTACTCTTATATGAATCTTTTAGGATTCATATATGAGCCAAGTTATGAGCCAGCACCTTGTGCCAATATAAAAACAATAAATATTTGAAATTTATATCTAAACTTGTTTATACAGAAATTGAAAATAATTAGAAAACAAAAAATGAACAAAATTTAGCTTCAGCTGCTGCTATTGAATGCATGTTGGAATGTGTATATGCATGTAAGTATGTATGTATGTTATTTGCAAGGACTTTGTGCGGAATGCCTTTGCAAATATAGTGAGTTGAATAAGACTCAAAGAGCAACCTAAAATAAGAGTCCGAATGTAGTAATTTATAGTAATTTATGAGGCCGATAAGAGCCTCAAAAAGAGTCTGAAATGATTCATATATGAGGCCAAAAATCATCTTCATCTTCATCTTCATCTTTATCTTCATCTTCATCTTCATCTTCATCTTCATCTTCATCTTCATCTTCATCTTCATCTTCATCTTCATCTTCATCTTCATCTTCATCTTCATCTTC